GAGGGGGTTCCCGCTCGGCCCTGCCTCTCCCCAGAGAGCCTGGGAGCCAGCGGGGAGGTGTGTGCCCGCCAGGCAGGGACAGGAGCCTGTGACCCGGCCTGAGGACCCTCGCTTGTGGGGGAGGATTCTTGTTTCTGAGCACTTCAGACACAGGGCTCGCAGCTGCTGGGATTCTCTAGGCTCTTTTTATCAGAGATCTGCTCCTGAGAACTGAACAGCGCTGATCTTTTCAGCTCAAGACTCTCTCCTGTGTTAAGGAGACTGAGACCATGAATATTTTGCAAAAAACCCTTAGCTTCTGTGTAAAAGACAGAATTTATACCTATGTTATGGTCTTGTTGAGGAAAAGGCAGCTTTCAAGTGTCCTGAGAGTCATCACGAATGTGGTACCTCCAAAGCGACTGCCACAGGGACTGCCTTTTGCTTGGCCAGAAGGATCAGAGGTTGGATGCAGAGTTGTAGGAGGTGTGTAGAGGCACACGGGGTGATGGAGCAGACCTACAGGAAGCCAGCTTAGTTACTACCTATAGAGAATCCTCTCCTTACTTGAAATAGTTTCTCCTGTTTCTGGAGCACTTGGGTACTCCTGGATTATAATTATTATAAGAGAACAGATTTTTTTCTTTCATAGTGCAGCGCTCTGCACCTGAAAGGCTGAAAGAAGAACTCAATGCAGGGATGGGGAGCGCTTATTTTGCAAGCAGTTCCTGTACTGAAAGGTTGTGCCACAGTTGGGAAATGATGGGGGTTGTTTCTGTTCTCTCAAGGTGACTTTCCTCAGAAGCAGCTTCTCTTGCTGTTTGAAGCAGAGGAGTTATTTATCAAGTGTGGCTTATTTATTTTCATTTTTCTTTTTTTCCTATTCATTCTCTTTATACCTTACCTGGCAACTCCAGTGCTCAAGAAGGCAGTTGAAAGGAAAAGGAGCAAATCAATAAATCAAGCAGTAAGGAACCTGTGGTTGTTCTCAGCAGAAATCTCTGCTTGGGTAGCAGCAAATAAACTTGAAAGAATTGGCTATAATAAAGTGAAGAGCAAGAGTACTTGTTTAACTGAAAGCCTCTGAAAATCCTGTTGGGATGTCAGACGAAAAGGGAACTGGGGGATCCTTTAAGGCTTTTGAAAGAGAATAGAAGCAGCCTCGTGAAGTGCATGTGTTGGGCGAGTCTTGGATGACGTAAAGTTGCTGCCGTCAAGATCCTCTCTAGTCCTAGTTTCTGTTATACCCTGGGTTTCACTTAGAGATTTTAATACCCAGCAGAGACCAGTGTAGCTGCTTTCCAAGGTTACTGCCACAAAGAAAGTTTTGTAGTACTCGGTGTATGTAGCTGTGGGCAGCATCACGTTATCCTGGATGCTGTCCAGGCAGGTGACAAGAAACACTCCCCACTCTACAGAGTTTACAGAACTTTCCTAGTTCTGCTGAGTTTGGTGATTGTGAAAATGGAGTTCACTACCAAGGTCTCTCCTGACACAGTTTTTTCCCAGTTTTGGCAAACGTTATCCATGGCATCAGTAGCCCTTGCCCTTTTTTGATGCCGTGCCCTCAGTAAAGAGAAGCTGCACGATCAAACCACGGATGTCCCAGCTGGGGCACATAGGCAGGCTGCAATGCCAGCGTGCTGTGGAGGCCAGTACCTGCTGGGGTTGTGGGCAGGATCCTTCAATCCATGCTGAAATCTGCTGATAACAAAGTGTCAGGTGGGCTCGCCCTGCTCATGTGGCACCTTTTAGGGAAGTGTTCTGTTCAGGACATAGTGTTCCTGATGCAGGTTGCAGGGTGGGAGCAGGAGGAGTTCAGTATCTCGGCTCTGGTTGCTCCTGCTTTCCTGCCCTTTAAAAAGGTATTCTTTCCCTTTGAAGGCCTAAATCTACCAGTCTCAGTCAACATTTTGGTTTTGTTCATGTAGCTGCTAAACACTGGGCCTCTTCCCTTCTTTTGTGCCTTCAGGACAGTGTGCAGGCAGAGCCTGTGCTTGTCTGGCTCCCTCTAAGACAGAGTGGTGGGCTAAGCACATTCCTGACCTTTGCTGTGCTGTTGTTGTGCCTGTCAGCCTCTGGGGAGTGTTTCCTCCTTCCCTTTCCCGTGGAGCAAACATCACTGTCCTGCTGCCCATAAAAGAGCAGAGATACTTACGTGAAGCATTCCTGTTGCTGCAAATAGAGCAAAGAACGTATCATCTTTCTCTGGCAGCCTGGATGCTTTTTATGTAGTGAATGTTTTCCTGCTTTTGGTCACAAAGGATAAATTGCAGTCAATAGAAGTTGCTGCAGCAGGACAAGCACCTACCATACGCTGTAGGAGTAAGGGGCACATCTCGATCTTGCAATAGGAAGTGCAGCTGCAATGTGGTAGGTGGTTACACGATCCTGTTCCCTAGCCTGAAGTTTCGTTGTGCTGTGTGAGTGCCGCTGCTGCTTTCTTCATGCAGTGCTGGTAGACTGAGGTGAGCACCCAAATAATCTCCGCATTGGAATACCCTGGTGCTTTTGGTGTTGCTGATTTGATGGCTTTGTTCATAAACAGGCAAGTTTTAAATATTCTTCTGGCAAATGAATAACAGTTGGAGTTATTTCTATAGGCAGCAGCACTCATCCTGTTATGTTAAAGTCCGTTTGGTAACTGGAAGCTTGCTTTACTTTCAAAGGCCGTGCCTCTTGCCCACCATTATGGTTGGTTTATGTGTGACAGTATCAGTGGAGCTTCTGGCCCTGGGAGCAGCCATTTTGCAAGAGCTCCGCAGCAGTTGTTACCTGGCAACAGTATACGAAATTTCAGTTTTGAAAACCAGTGAAAATTTCAGGCGAGGATTTTGCTGAGACAGGAGGCTTCAACTTTGGTGTGTTGATGTGTAAGCGCAGACGGACTGGGCTTGCTCCCCGATGGGGATCATCAACTATTTACCTTGCTAGTGAAATAGTGAGAAGAGTCTCCTTCGTCCAGTTACATCTGTCCCCTTCTAAAAGCCTTCAGAAGGCTTGGAGGCCACCAGGTAACTTGTGCTAGGCCAAATAGATGAAGTCAGGGCACCTGCACTCCTCAAAGCAGAGCTGAAGCTCTGAATAAATAGTTGCTTTACGCAGAACTTGAGTGCTGTAAGCTTCTATGTGACTGCTTGACCAAGGGAAAAATACGAGAGTCCCATAGGCACAGCTGCACAGTTTGGTAGCTCAGTTATTTAAACACCTGGACTTTGAGGTCAGGGCTCAGTCAGAAGCCAGTTGTGGAAAGTAGCAAATATTTCCAGCCAGCCCCAAAGGTTGCAGCTTAACCACTGTGTTGCTGGACTTCAGAGATCTCTCTGCAGGCACGAGGGTTAGAAATGATCCTTCAAGAGCCCTGGCACTTGATTCCGGAAATCTGAATTACCAGTTTAGTCTTTCTGATCCAGTACTATTTGCACTGTGAATCTGGTAAGTTCCTTGTACTGGTTCTTTGGTGTTTTTCTGGTCTGCTGATATTGCTTGTATAAGAAAAGAGCTACGGCTTCACTCATTTGTGTGGAGATAAGTTTTTTACATGGGAAGTCTCTTACACGTCCTTTTCGGAAAAGAATACTTTTCCCAACCACTTCAGCACATTCTGCTTGATAGACCAGTAGAACCTGGCAAAAAACCATCTGGAGTTAGTGTATTTCGCACAGTACAACTTCTTTTAAATGAATGTTGTGTACAGTTGGTCATGCTTTTCCCTAGGTTCAGTGAACGAGAACCAGAGACCATCAAATTCGTACAACGGAGACCTGAATGGACTGCTGGTGCCTGATCCCATCGTGACTGGAGATGGACCTTCTTTGTCTAAGCCAGTGCATCGCAGCATTTCTCTGGGAGCCCTGCAGGAGAAGCAAGTCATGTAAGTTTTGTCAAAGAAAGGCTGAGGGTGAATAGAAACCACATAAAAATAGTTCTGGTGAGCCTGGACAGGCATACAGGGAATCTGACAGTGAGTTTTACGTTGGGTTCAGGTGGCTGTCGTGAGTCCATGCTGTTGGTCAGAGCTTTTGTAGCTTTTGTGAGGCTGTTGCATGGAGCCAGCCCTCCTTGCAGCCAAGGGACTGAGCTGTTTAGAGAGAAGGGGACCAGGACTGGTCGCAGAGCAGACATTGCAAGTGAGGGTGGAGGTAAATTAGCAGGGTGCTGGGTGAACCTCGGTGTTCTCATGTAGACCTCCAGCTGGACTCTTTCAGGGACCCAAGTTACCCGAGAGGTGACTTATACCAGTTAGCAGTGCAGTAGACCTTGCACTTGTCAAAGTATTTCTCTCCACTTAACTTAAAACCAGGACAAATGCTCCTGAGCTGGTTTTCTAACTCTTTGCTGAGTTCTGCAAATACATCAGTGTGGTTTGGACAGTACGTGTGCTTTTACTGCTTACGTGCAAGAGGACATATAGGTTACTTTGGTTTTGTCCAACTACAAATCTACACCGGTCTAATTAGCGTAATGCTTGGCTTATGTGTGCTGACTCTTTCAGCTCATGTAAATAGCTTTTGTTTGGGTTCTCTGGTCATAGTTTTGAGAGAGGATGCTGTGAGAACCATGAGCAGCATGTGCTGCTGTTGGGGAGATTCAGTTGGTTGTCTTTGGTCTCTTTGCACCTTCCAATGTTGGGTGGTAGTCAAGGCTACTTTAACCAAAGGTAGGTCTGTGCTCCCTTCAAATAGACTGGAGGTTTTTAAGCTGAACTAACCAGATGTTTGGTGCTCTCAAACCTGTGACACATAGGGAAGGGAGAGATCCTTAACTGAAAGTAGCTTCTGTTCTCAGTTGTTCAGCTCAAACCATTTAGAATGCACAGATACTGCTTCTGCATTGCTGTTAAAATTATGAATAGCAAATACCTGACCCCTGTTTTATTTCTGTGAGTCCTGTCTGAGTTTTTTTTTTCCTTTGTTTTTCTTAAAAGCTGCCTTTCTGGTGATGACAGCTCCACTTGTGTAGTGATATCTGCTAAAGATGTGGAGATAGTGGCCAGCAGTGATTCCAGCATCACCAGTAAGGCCAGAGGGAGTAACAAGGTAAGGAGCAAGAGAAAGGATGGTTCTGTCTCTTTTTCAGTCGCATCAGCTGATACGTGAATATTTTAAACAGAAGTTGCTATCTTCTATCCTGTATTGTAGGAGCTTGTAATTAGGTAAAAGTTTTTCAAAGAGCTTAACAAAGGTGAAAAAAAATTGGAGCAGTATCTTGTAGCTGATTGTTACTGTTATTCCAGAGTCTGGCCACATTATCCTCTAATTTTCAGGAATAAGTCTGCGATCTAAGCTGTAGGTTCTTGGGAAGGTGCCTGTCCCTCCCAGACAAGTTTTTTTCTGATTGTTTCTTCACTGGAAGGTCCTCGCTATGGAGGGAGGGTTACTCTTGAGGGCTCCAACCAGCTGCAGAATAACCAATGTGCTGAGTAGGGCTGTAGCAGAGGACTAGGACATGCTCAGAATAAATGCTTGTAATTAGGAGAGAGAACTCTGGTCTTGATCCTCCCAGGACTTTCCCATATTATATCATTTTGTTTCTTGATATACAATGAATTAAGGGATCTCAGAGAACGTAAATAAATACTGTACCATGTTCTGGCTGCCTTTCATGGGTGATACTGAAGATAAAAATGAAAGAGAGGATCACAGCCATAACTTCTGCAGTATTTTTTAATCCATGTTTCCAGAGGCTATGCTTGCCAAATAAGACCAGGACTCCTGGTTTCTTGGAAAGCAGTATTGAAACTAAAAAGCAAGTGCCCATGCGGTAAATGTGTTTCTATATTTCAAAAAAGTTTCCAAGAACTGGGAATCCAGGCTCAGTGCTAATAAAGAAGTGAAGGCTGCTTTGCTGCTCTTGCAGGGTTGAGTGTTGTTCTGCAGCATGACACATTCAGGGAGTTGCATTCCTTCTTGCAATGGAAGGAAATACTCACCCGCCTCCAGAACTTTGAATGTTCAGGGCTCTGCTGAGCTGGTATTAAATATGCAATTCTTCCTACCAACCACTTCTTCTAACAGTTTCCTATTAAGCATTACAGATCTTCCTTGAAGGAAATAATGTATTTGGCAAGTTTGTTCCAGGAAAAAGGTAATTCCAGAAACTTCTGATATTTTGTCGTCTTTCTCTTGAGCAGGTGAAAATACAGCCCGTTGCTAGATATGACTGGGAGCAGAAATACTATTATGGCAATCTGATAGCTGTTTCAAACTCTTACCTGGCTTATGCCATTAGAGGTGAGATACCGTCTTGTCTTATATGTCATTTGTATTCTTTTGCTGTCTGTCTCTCTAAGAGAGGCAAAGTTTAGATCAGAAGAAAGTGACTGGCAATAATTGAAACGCTTCTTGGAATACCAAGATGAGGGTGCTGTTGTAGTGGGAATATAAGTGAAGCTGGAGCTACAGAGGAGGGAAGGGTTGGTGGTGTGGGAGAGTTTCCACTGAGAAGGAAAGCTTTTCTAAAGTTAGAAATAAAACAAAGAGAAGGACTCAGTGGGGATGGAAGAAGAGTTGAAGGATTACATTGGTTTCACTGGACAGTAAGCTGATGTTCAGATTACTCCTCTAATTAAACATTTCTGCAGTAAACAAGCTTCTCTGTAGCTAAGCACAGAAACAGCCTCGTGGTAATTTGAGCAGATAAATGTTTGATGGATTTGCTTACACAGATTTAGAGCCGAGTTTAAGGCTAAATTTAGAGGAGTCACAGAGCAATGCAGATGCAGTGTATTTTGCAGTAGGAAGGGAGAGAAAAGAAGAACGCAGGGAAAGATTGTTTGACAGCATATGTGAAACAAATGAACTTGGTCATCTGCAGTATCTCTGCTCTCATATAACCACACAGTGTCTGGGGCTCTGTCAGGTCTTCCCTTTCTTAGTTCTAGCACCTGTCAGTTTCTCGCCTTGGATGAATTCTACTACCCTGCTTCAGTGTTTTTTTCCTAGCTGAGGTTATTTTACAGCAGCTCTAGGGTGTCCCTCCCTTTTTTAAAGTATTAAAGCTTAAGTGCAGTAACATTATGAAAAGCTGAGTGATCTGCTAGGGCTGGCTTGGGCGTCAAGAAGTGCAAACGGTATGATCTCCACAACACTGCCTGCATTATAATGATGCTTGTCTGAAATTGGGAAGTTGGAAACTTTGCTTGGTATGTACATGCTGTAAAGCGTGCTCTTTTCAGTCAGACAAGGCAAAAAGCAGTGCTCTTTGCCAGGTGACACTTTATGCTTTTTAAATTCCCCTTACAGAAGATCTATTTGAGTTACCTGCCTCTCAATGACTTCTTTGCTCCAGTTACTGAAGATGAAATTGCAATTAAAATTAATTCACTGTCACTGGAAGTTTGGTAGCTTTGCCATGAGCATGGGATAAAGATTTAGGACTTACATTTAATGAAGGCATTTTTCATTAGAATAATCCTGGGAATCATTAGAAGTCAACTTCTGTTGACTTTTTAAGTAGAGCAACTCTAGAATTTGAGGTGCTTAAGAAATTGTAGAAGGTGAATTAAGCTGCCTCTTACAAGGCAGACAAAGTACTTCTTGATGCTGCCATCCCAGTCTTCTGCAGCACAGCTGAAAAGTGCAGTGAATATTTGTGCATGTGCCCCTGGGTCTTGGAGGGGCTTGTTAATATGGTACCAATTGATGTGAGTTTTCAGTGCTGGAAATGCTGATGGCTGGAAGCAAAAGCAAACCTGTGGGAAGACCACACAGATAAATGGTGACTTCTCCCTCTGTCTTTTCTGCAGCTGCCAGTAATGGCTCTGCTATGGTGCGAGTGTTGAGCGTCAGCACTGCTGAGCGGACCTTGCTGAAAGGATTCACGGGCGGTGTGGCAGACCTGGCTTTTGCTCATCTCAACTCCAACCAGCTGGCGTGCCTGGATGAGGCTGGCAACCTTTTTGTCTGGCGCCTGGCCATGGATAAAGAGAAAATCCAGTATCTTTTCAAAATACACCTCCTAACAGTGTTTGTGTAATGGTTAGATGTGAATGCAGCCTCAAAACTGCAACCTATTTCATAGCCTTTTCATAATAGCAGCTTGCAGGGGGAGGATCAATAGTTCTGCCCTTTCCAGAGCATCAAATCAGTCAACATGTCCCTGTATTCAGCACAATCATTACTTGAAACTGCATGTATCTTGAAATTCTAGGAGTGACACCTCATGGCTCCTTCTGGTCCAAGCAAAAGTAGTCAGCGGGAAGTGCCAGGCTGTTACCTGGACAGTGTTACCTTGACCACATGACAAAGCTTTTACTCACATTTGTCTGGTTCTAGCTCTTTTCCTTAGCTATGTTTCTAGGGAAGAGTGTGTAATATCTTCCTTCCAAACCTGTCACCCTTGTTCTTTTGGTGGCCCTGAAATTTATTTTCAGTGTTTGATTCATTGCCCTAAATCTTTTTCTTTTAATTGCTGAGAGTGACTGCTCAGTGTTTTTGGGAAGCACGTCAGTCTGCAGGATGCGTTGTCTTAGGTTGTGGCTTCTTAGTTGTAACTGTGTACCATTGTTTCAAAAGCAGCTGGGGCAAACATGGTGGTGGTTGTTTTACCTGATTTGTAAGACTGGAGCAGAGTCCTCAGCCTGGAGCAATGTGGTAGCTTTTATGTCTTTCTGTGGTGGTGGTGTTGCAGTGCTAGCTGAAATAATTTCATCTGTCCATCAGCAGTTGCACGGTTTGCATGTTCAGATGTGGCTGTGTGCTCCTGTTGTCCTTATCCTGTCCTTGTCTGCAGCCTGCAAGAGGAAAATTAGGAGACTCTAATAACTTTTGTAAGTTTAACCTCTTCTGCCAGTGAAGAAACACTAGCTTGCCGCCTTGCAGAATCCTTTTACTGGATATATTTTTGAATCTCAATGATCCCAAAAGTCTTAAGTAGGATTTACCAGAGGACCAAGCCTGAATGAGTTATTGCTGAGTGTCAGTAGCACAGTCAGAATGTTGTGTTTCTTAACCGTGGTGATCAGAGAGGAGATCTTGGTCAACATCAAGCGACCTGACAATACCCCATTGAACACCTCTCGAAGAATCATCTGGTGCCCTTTCATCCCAGATGATAATGAGGAGAGCGGTGAAGAGGGAAGTCAGACATTGGCGTTGTTGCATGAGGACAGGGTAAGGAAACCTTGCATTTGAAACATTGTCCCTTATTATCGTTAGAGGGAGAGAATCTAGTGAAGGACAGAGCCGATATGGTTGGAGTTGTAAAGGCTCCTGTCTGGGCTGTGCTTGGGATCCTGCTGTAATATGAGATGTGGGGATTCCTCTTGTCCAAGGAGAGGTCTTGCTAATCTTTCTCTGGAACTCTGGAGGAAAGAAAGTGGGAACTTCTGCTCACCATCAAATAGCAGGACCAGTAGAAACAATATGGAGTGCCAGAGGCATCACTTATCTGCTCAGGCTGAGCTAGCTCTTAGGGAAGAGGGCTTGGTGAGCAGCAACTACAACTGCCAAGAGCAGTTCCCTGTACTTACATGTGGCTGGGTGCCAGAAAAGCATCTGTTGGCCAAATTGGATGGAAATGGGAAGGTTTATGTCATGTACTTGCTGTTGGGCTGATATGCCAGGATACAAGATAAAAGAAATTCTTCACTGGATCAGACCAGTAGTGGTAGAATAAATCTTTGTGCCCACATGTTTGTTTTCCAGGCAGAGGTGTGGGATTTGGACATTATCCGAACGAACAACAGCTCCTGGCCAGTGGAAGTGCCTAGCATCAAAGAAGGCTTCATCGTAGTGAAAGGCCACAGCACGGTATAAACCTGTTTTATTTTCTTTACCGCCATTGCATGGATGATTGCTACAGATAACTTAGGTTCTCTTTGGGTTATCATGTCTCAAAAGCTGTAGTTCTTAGGACAGTTTGCTGTAAAAAAAAGAGTTTCTTACCCTTCCTGGCTGTCTGGAAGAGCAGATTGTTAATTATTATTACAAACAAAGAAAAGTCCTGTCAGTTCTTCTGTGAAAGGGTAAGTTGTCTGGTGACATGTCTGTTAGAAATCACTCTGACCTCCTGTACTGTCAGACTGCTAGTCAAATTCGTGTTTGAAGAGAGTACTCTTCCTATAAAATGAAAAGCTATAAAATGACTTTTCTGTCTCTCTTTTTCCCCCTCTGTTTAGTGCCTGAGCGAGGGAGCACTTTCTCCAGATGGAACTGTGTTGGCCACAGCAAGCCATGATGGTTTTGTCAAATTCTGGCAGATCTATATTGAGGGACAGGACGAGCCAAGGTAACTGGAGAATTAAGAAATGAAAGATCTCGGAATAGGGAGCAGCATTTTCTCTGTGAGAATTTCCTTGTTACAGAATCACCTGCAATGGTCATTCTCAGGACATTATAAAGATACAGGGTGAATGTTTATGAAGTGATTTGTTGCTGAAGAGCTGTGTCACCGAGTATTGCACAAGGTTTGGTGAACTTATGAAAAAAGCAGAGAGCTGTGTCTGGAAGCAGGAGTTCTGTGCCTTGCATAGGCTGTAGCCAGACTCTTGCACTGTACCTGTAAATGCAGAAAGCTGCTCTGAGCTGCTCCTCTCACTGTGAACTTGTTATGTATTGTACCTTTGTTAAGACAACTAACCAAATAGCAACATGTGAGATAGAGATATATATATCTGTATGTATATGTATATATGTTTATTTTTTGGTCACAATCCATGGCTGTGTGGGCTGTGATCTCCTTATTTTATATAAGCCTGTAAACAGGTACAAGCTGATAACACTTGGTGGCTGCTGACTTAATGCTGTCTTTGGACAAGGGATAATGTGTTTAGCATTTACCTTTTATCTTCCTCGTTTACCACTCCCTGCACGCTTGGATCTTTTCTCTGATTCTTTCCTAGGTGTCTTCATGAGTGGAAACCCCATGATGGTAGACCTCTTTCCTGCCTGCTCTTCTGTGACAACCATAAAAAACAAGACCCAGAGTAAGTCCCCAATCCTGTACTTGAAGTGTGAAAGTTTAGTAATGTCTTTAACTCTGCTTTTCAAGGGTTCCTTGTAACTGCATTGTACTTGTAAAAATTTGGCTTTGTGGCAGATTCGAGTCTTGTCCTCTTTTTAGTCAGTTTCCTAGTGCTGAAGAAATATATAAGGCTCTAAAGCACAGCCTAAAGTGACGAATTCTAGTGTCAATTCCATGAAAGTATTGAAAATTCTAAATCGATAGTGCTTTCAGGTTTGTGGTATGGTCAGTTTTAACTGAATAGCTTTTTAAAATCGTTATTCTTTCTAATGTCAGTTGTGGCCCTCAGGTTCTTGAGAGCTATAGTGATTTATAATCTGCCTCAGAAGTTAAATTTTCTTGGAACTTTAAGACACAATTGGGCAAAATCAGCTGTGGGCAGCTTGTGAGGATCTTTTCTGTGAAATGTTTCTATGGGGAGGACTAGATCTTCTTTAAGAGAACTTAATTCTGTTGTGCCTGCAGGGTTCCCTTCTGGAGATTTCTCATCACAGGAGCAGATCAGAACAGAGAACTGAAGATGTGGTGCACTGTGTCTTGGACCTGTCTGCAAACTGTCCGGTAGGTGTTGATATGCCAACTCCCGGAAGGGTCAGATTTACTTTGAGCTCTCAGTTTCCAGGTATACTTAAGCTGCAAAGGTGATCCTTGATCTCCAATGGAGTCTACTCGAGCCCCAGTTAGAGCCACCTTCTTTGCCAGTCTGACCTATCTGTTGAAAGCTGTCAGGCCTGTGACAGACTGTCAGGCCAAGCTTTGGCAAGGCAAGGGAAGTTGATACTTTTATACATTGTCCTTGGTGTTACCAAGACCTGTTGTCTTTGCTTTGGTCTGTACAGCATAGACATACCTGTAGCATGCAGAGAGGCATTCCAAAATTGCACTCCTTGAGAGCTTTCTTATGTAAAATTACTTTATCTTCAATAACCAATCTAGGTTCTCTTCTTCTTACTGCTTTTTCTGATATAAGTACGAGAGGTTGTATGTTGACAGAGCTTCAGCTCCAGAAGTTCAAATTCCACTTTAGTCCCTCTCTTCACTCAACTTATGTTCCTTGGTTTTACTTTTCTGCTGGTGGATCGTGGCCTCTGTGATCACATGTATGTGTAAAGCCACTTCTGAATTGGCATACAGCTGTGTGCTGCTTTTTCCAGCTATGCTACAGAAAGTCCAAAACCTCTAGAAGGGTTTAGTTTGAATTTTTGTTTTCAAATCTGTAGCATTGGCTCTTGTCCTCCTATGAATGTGGAACGTGTTAAGTAATGACAAACTGTCATCTTTTATTTATGTGTTCAGAATCTGTATCTAAATCCTATTCTGTGATCTCACTGCTGGTCTGTAAGTTGAATTCAGCACTGATTTCTGCAATGGTGTTTTTGCTCTAGTGGGTGGTTGATCTGTAATATAGCTGTGAACTCATTAAGATGGCTGGGTTTCTTAACTAATGCAGTTTCATAGCAGTCACTCTGGTTGTGCTAATCTGTCTTGCTTTCTGCCCTACCCTCCCCTCTTGTTTGTGGATCTAGCTTTTCTCCTGACATCTTCAGTTCCATGAGTATTCTTCCCAGCCTGAAAGTTTGCTTGGACCTCTCCGCTGAATACCTGATTCTGAGTGATGTGCAGAGAAAAGTAGGTGGTTCCTTTTATTGCTGGCTGTGTACGTAATGGGGACAGAAGGAGAAATGGCCACCTGAGTGGCTGGTTCTGCCGCTAGGTCTAAGATTTATGCATTAATCACTAAAAATACTGAGATTTGCCTCAGCTATTTCACCACAAGATGACAAATGATAACAATTCAGCTAATTAATTCTGAGAAGCCCTAAGTATTATTCCCTACCCTAAAGTAAAGCTCTCATTTGGAGGCACCTGTGTCTGGCACAGTAGGATTGAGTTCCTGATCAACGTTGATTCAGATAGGAGTGTGCTTACTGTGGTTCCCTTGGGTGTTCTGTTTCAAATTTAAATGGCCCAGGCTTTATTCCTCATGTTATTCACATTGTTTCAAATCTAATTCAAGTGCTAGGCTTTGTAGTCCACACACAGATATGCATGGTCTGCTCTGAAAGCCCAGTGACTTGCTCTGTCTTGATTCTTCCAGGTCTTGTATGTGATGGAGCTGATGCAGAACCAGGAGGAGGGAAAAGCTTACTTCAGCTCCATCTCCGAGTTCCTCCTTACCCATCCGGTCCTAAGCTTTGGCATCCAGGCAGTGAGCCGCTGCCGGTTAAGGCACACTGAAGTGCTCCCAGCGGAAGAGGAAAATGACAACTTGAGTGTAGGTAGGTGACAAAGAGAACTTGGCTGCTGTGAGATCAGGATTTCTTTCCTGGCTAATTACGGCTTTCTCATGAAAGGCCGGCTCTCTTCTTCTCACAGTCTGTGTGAAATACATCCTGTGCAGCTAAGAGTACTTCATGGAAGCACTGTACAGCTGTTTACGAGGGACCTCTGAAAGTCTCTGGTCCAACCTGCTGCTCGAAGCAGGACTATTGCCCATGATAAATCAGGTCACCTATGGCTTCATCTAGCTGCGTGTTTAAGGTCCCCAAACATATCACCTGTGGCTCTGCTCTGGTATCCTGTCTCAAGGCTGCGCCCCTTCCTTATGAAAATGTATTCCTAATACCAAACCTGACCCCCCCAACCCAGGTTGCAGCCATTGCCCCTTACCATGCAGAAACTCCACTGAGATGTTTGTTATTAAAAAACAAAACTAAACAATATTCCAGGGCTGTGTGGGCTGGAGACAGTGCAAGTGATGCTTTGGTTAAGGTGCAAGATTAGCTACTCAGTATCTGAGCCATGATGCTTTTGCGATTACATAGCCTCCCTGCTGCCAGCAGAATGCAGGGACAGCATCCTCTGGAAGCTTAGGACTGAGTCTCCCTCTAGCACTGTTTAATGCAGGCTCACAGGAGCACAAGAGTTCCTGGAAGAACTGGCAGGGTGTATTTCTGTGTCTGCTTGTCTGAGCAAACTGTGTAATTAAACATTAGAGGTCTGAGAAACCAATTTGTTGCATCTGAATCATACTGACTGTGCTGTGATAGATGTGAGGGCAGTATGCAATCTGAGTTGAAGGAAGAGGTGAGATTCTTCTCCATTGTGTCTGGAAGGGATATTGCCAAGCTATAAACCTCTTGTACATAATTATAGTTAATTTGTGTTAGTGGCATTGCTCTGAAATGCAGAAGTAAAAATGAGAGATACTTGTAGCATGTCAGGAACAGACTGACACTGAAACTTCAGGTTCCTGCTTGGTGCTCAGATAATTAGGACAATTTGCATAGGAATGCCTAATATTTTTTAGGGGGAGTTAGGTTTATCTTTTCTACTCAGCCTCCCTAGCATTGTTAGCAGTGAGACTGATACAGGTGTTGAGTGACTGTTGTCAGTGCTGGCTGATGAGATGTTACTGGTTGTTTACAGCCAGGAAGGATGGTTGAGCCCTAGTCTGAATTTCTGTATGATATAAGCTAGTGTGTGTCTCTTAAAATGTATCTAACCAGTCACTTCAACAGCCAGAACAAATTGCTGGCAGTTCCAGACCATAGCTTCCTGCTCTTTACCTACCTATCTTATTTTTTTCTGTTCCTTGAAGCTTATTTGACTGGATCAGAGCAAATTTGATTGCTCTCACACTGAAAAGTAAAGGGAGTGTAGGATACATTTTCCCTTAACAGTGTGAATCTACCTCAGAAGTGTAGAGGAGATAAAAGCTGTATCGTGCTGGTTCTCTGCTGCTGGTTCATCTCCTATGATATTTTTCTATTACTTTGTTTGCAGTTTCCATCCAACTTCATGTTTTACTTTTGTCTTGCTTCCAGAAGGTGCTCAGGGAGCCGGGGCTGTTGAATCAGCAGCAGGCGTACTGATAAAACTCTTCTGTGTGCACACCAAGTGAGTATGCCTAGCAGCTATGGTCGCCCTAATCCTGCACTGACCTGTAGAAATTCAACTTGCCAATTCCTTTTGCTCATAACAAAAGCTGGACCCAGAGAAACAGCCCTGCATGGTCCTGTGGCAAGCTTGTATTTTTGTCACCATAAGTATGTGGTGGCTGAAGAGTTGTGCTTATGTGTAAGTGCTGGGGAACATCTCTTGAATGGGTACCAGAATGGGTGACACAGCTGAATGAGGATCAGCTTCGCTCCTTCTGTCACAGGCAGAAAAGGCTAATCGTGCTCCAAGGAAAGCAGTTCTGTGAAGAGGAATCTTCCAAGCATTAGATGTCTCTTGGTGATTCATAAACTAATCAGAGATGCCTGGCTTTGTGGTGTTTTTTTTTCCAGGGCACTACAGGATGTGCAGATTAGATTTCAGCCTCTTCATAGCCCTGACATGAGCGCTTCCATGCCTTCCCATGGATCCCATGAAGAATTTGGTGAGCATTTGTATTCAATCAATCTTCAGTGTTGCTGAGCCTTTAAAGGTTGTTGGTGAGGGGACAGCAGAAGGGCAGCTTTGTAATGGAGTGGCATTATTGTGTAAAGGGTTCTGAAAATGGACTAGCTGTGAAGCAGACCACTTGATTAGAGCCCAGTGTGAGTATGGAGCATGGAGATGTGTTAGGCTAGGAGCACTAATGCTTTGTGCATGCTTGAATTCACCTTGATAGGTATTTAGCACTTGTGCCAGAAACTTGATGTTTGTCTCTTGTCAGGCAGAAGGGATTACAGTGACACCAGAGCTTTGAGAGTAGAGGGGACTGCACTGTGTGTAGTGTGCTCTTTCAGTTCATTCACCACTCTGGGATGTGACTCTTAAACTGGCCTTGCACTTAGGGAAGAAGAAAGGACGCTTGGATAGTTCTTGTTATCAAAGCCTGATAACATCCACTGTTTAGCCTACAAGAAGTAAGGGTAGCACAGGATTTGCCTTGCCTTAGCTTTCATTAAGATGTTGCAGGGTCTTTGCTTGTTCTTGAGGAATCCAGTATGGCAGACAGTGCTGTTAGTTCAAACTTTGTGGAATTAAAGCTTCAGCTTTTGGGGGAATTTCCTTTAAATTAGTTTGTATTTCTCCCTTGGAAGCCTTTCCAGACCACATGGCTGATCTAAGCACAGAAGGGCTGGGATCTGAAAAAGGATCGGTGCATGGCTCTCAACCAGACCTGCGGCGCATTGCTGATCTGCCTGTACCAGCAGACTTTCTGTCTCTCTCAAATGATGCCAAACCTAAGCTGATGACTCCAGATGCATTCATGACACCAAGTGCATCTCTTCAACAGGTAACCAGAGGAAAGCGCTGTTATTGGTGTTACAAGGGATAGGTTTGGATTTTGATACTTTTGGGTATTTTTTCTAGGTAGTAGTGACCGATAGGCTAAAGTAGCTGAATGAGAGCACACAGCAAACTCTGCCTCTAATCAAACAGTAAAGACATGATGGCACATGTAAAATGCTAAGCCTGGCATAAGGTTGTGCTATGAGTGAGCGAGTGCTGCGAGTGCTGTGTTTAGCTACAAAACTGCTGATGAGCTGTGTTGTGTAGAAATACAGGTTTGCTAAATAACTGTATCTAAGCTGGGAGACTGGTTTACGCATATTATTTGGGGTTGTGATATAACTGAAAATACGCCATATCTGCATATGCTCTCTGATGGGATCCTGTGGCAATGCATGTCTGAAATGGTCAGGTAGGAAGGTGGGACTGTAACATCTTCTGCATGACTTGGCGATCCAGTAGCTCAGTGGGTGGTTTGGATTTTTTTTAATCTAACACAGCAGGCCTTAACTTGTACAGAGGACAAGACTTTTGTGCTTGCTCCAAGGCTTTCAGTATCAAGAAGCATGTGACACATTCCTCAGGATTCAGTGACATCTGCAAAGGATAGTGAAGTGTCTTGGTGAAGAGCCATAAGCAAGCGTTTGCTCCTCAGTGGAGCTCTAATGAAGCAGTCAGAAAACACAGAATTCCTCTTAGTGCTCTGTCACATGTGCACTGCCTGCAGTGCTGCACCATGCACTGTTGGGTCCTGCCACATATTTCTAGAGAAAATGTGGTTGTCACCACAGCTTGAATGTGTACTGAAGGGGCCTGGATGAGGATTGGCAGTGCATGGAGATGTGCAGAAATGGAGTCTGTGCCGAGTTGACTGACGAGAGAGAACCATCCCAGCGACAACTCAGGAAGTCAAGAATAAATTAAACTCTTCCTAGAGGTTTTGATGTTGCTAGCAAAGTTGCTGAGTGTGGCAGCTAATTTTGTGCCTGAGGGTGGGTAGCCTTCCCAATGCAAAAAAGGGGGCAGAGAGAAGTTGTTGATGGGGTGATGGTTGTATTTACCATTTGCCACAAGGAGTGGCTTACTTTTCAGTTTAAACATTGTAGCTGTTCAGTTTAAACCTGTCTTTTCACTGCAACCTATTTCATGGCAGACTCCTTGCTGGCAGCAGCACCCAGGAGCGCTCTAGTGTGGACACAGCCTTGAGTTTAGCTCAGTCTCTGCTTCCTGCCATAAGCCCTTCAAGCATAAGAAGCTTGGCCAAACCAGCTTTCCTGGCTGAATATTTGTGTGCTTATGTTGGTGTTCTCTGTAGGTGTTTCTTGGTAGCCAGAAGCCACAGTGGGGGCCAGCATATCCCACTGTACCCTGCATTGCCAGCCAGCCAGCTGGATGAGCAATATCTCTTCTGCATTGGAGCGTTCTACTTCTACATACTAGCAGTGCAGGACCTAAACCAATACAGACTCTGGCCTCACTAGTGGCAGCACACCTTGACAAGAGCAGTCTAGCTCAAATAACAAAACAGGGATCCAGTGCAGAGCCCTGCAGAATGCCACTTTGTTTTGGCAGAGCAATTGCTCAATAAAAGCAGTCATGGTTTACATTATGAGGATGTACTGGGGGTTGCCTTTGACCAGTACCTGAGCACCCTAGCATTACAGCTTGACCTATTTGTTTTCTGTTCCCTCTTTGGCAAAGACTCTTCAGGAGTTGTTCTGGAGGCAGTGTTCTCGGGTTAAACTCTACTGCTGAACTCTTCTGTCACATCCTCACTGCTGTGTATTTTCTCATAGATCGCTGTATCTCCAGGCAGCAGCGTTAGTTCCCTGACTGCAGTCACAGCCATGAGTAGCACTTCTGTCACGGATACTTCTATGCCCAGGTAAATAGATAATAAACAGATAAAGTATTAAATAACTTGCAGCTGAACTGATACGGTCCTTCAGGGTGGAGCAGAGCTGTAGTGTGTCTTGTAAGAGAGGAGATTGTAACCAGAGTTAGAAACTGGCCTGAGTCCTAGTGTCCCTGTATGGACAACTGTTTACATCTCTGATGCAGCTTGGAGCATGCCTGTTGTCATCCAAGGGGCCAACAATAGTGTTTCAATTGTGCCTCACAGGGATTCTCTTATTCCATCTCAGTTTTGTTGCTTTACATGCTTCTCCCAAAGGGCTGTTGTTGTTTACAGGTAAGAGAACACTGCAGCCACTGAGGAGAGGAAGATAATTGGGACAGTTAGAAAACTTTTACTAGTGTGGAGGTGGGTTGGGCTGCATAACAGGGGAATATTTCACTTCTTGAGGCTGGGAAAACCACAAAGACCTGTGCTGTAGTGTCCTGTGTTTCCGTAAACTCTGTACAGTGTGAACTGAAGACATAACAGTTCTCTCATTGACACCTCAAATTCTAAGAGATTGCAATGCACCTCTTTTCTTATTTTTCTTTGTTTCCACCTGTTATCTCTTTGGGCTGTATGGGGACTAGGAGATGCAAACACTCATTGACAGGGAGTCGCTGTCACTGGAAAGAGCAAAGGCTTGGAGAACACTAGTGAAATTTGGGTTGGGCTCCTCCATTGAGCTGTGGATCCCATCTCCTCACCTCAAGTGTTTGATGCAGATCTGTATCATTAGGTTGCCCTGCTTGATTTGTTTGTCTCTGTTTTCTGCAGGCCATCAGAGGACTTGACTGTGAGCCCCAAGATGCAGCTGGACACCAGCCTCACGCTGAGTAGCAGTAGCAGCAGTCTTCAGACTAGTCCTAGAAGCCATCCAGTTCTTATCCCAGGGCTCTCTGACAAGCTAACACCAAAGGCACCTGTTCCAGTAAGGCTCCAAGTGCTTCTCCTTGTGGGCCAAGGGCCCTCTCTCTATGGGCCTACATAAGCTGCAATTAAACTTGTCTGGATATTAACAGAGCTAGTGTATTCTGTTTGGAAAACACAACTGCTGACACAGATCTGCAGCCATGTTTACCCATGTTAATGGAACTTGACCTGGTATAAAACAGCATGTCTCTGAAAAGTAGAGTCAGCTCTAGCTTGTGCTGTCACTGTTGCTGTGGTTGGAAATGGTTAGCCATTGTGTTAGGAGGTAATGCTACCTGGAAAGGTTTCTTCCTCCTTGCTGGTCTTACGGGTCTGAAACAATCATTACCTAGTTCTAAATTTTTCTTTCCAGGTGTGATGTAAGACAGATTATGACCGAAGTTTGAAATTTAAATAAGCTTTCAGTCCTGGAGATGTTCAGTGTTTAAACTAACTTTTTTTCCCTCAAAGAGAAGGGATCCTGGACCAGAGCAGGGAGGTAGAACTGGTGTGAAAGTGTGTTCAAAACTTGCATTGGCTTAATTCTGTCCTCAGCCCAGCTGAGGGGCCATTACAGGTCCTGGGGCCTTTCTTCCTCTGCTGAACAAAGTGGGAGCACAGGGATCACTGGGGAAAGGATACAGCTGGCTGTTTCCAGAGGTGGTTGGTGTAGCGTACCAGGGGTTTTTAGGGTGTCTCCACATTACCCTGAAGGCTCTTGTTTGATTTTTTTTTTTTTTTTTTTTTTTTTAAATTCAGGTCACACCAGGAAACCCTTCTCTAGCATTGGAACTGCAGGAGGTGGAGCCCTTGGTGGTGCCCCAAGCTTCTCCCACCCGTGAGCGCTCGCCAGATGTCATTTCCTCTGCTTCCACAGCCATGTCCCAAGATATCCCAGAGATTGCTTCTGAGACCTTGCAACGCAGCTTTGCAGCAGCTCCATCTGGGCTCCCTGCGGAGGTGCTGGAGCCCAGTCATCATGCAGACAGTATGGCTTCTGCTGCCTCTGCCTTGCATTTGCTGTCTCCGAGGAACCGGCACAACTCAGAGCACAGCCACCACTCTTTGGACATGCCTCCAGTGGAGGTAGACAGACTGAATGCTCCGTCGTTACTGGAGACTGCTTTAACTCAGGAAAATGCATCTTCTGACAGTGTTGTGAGTCAGCCATGGCCAGCAGCTCCTGACATAACCAGAGAAACCAGGAACAGCATGGCAGACAGGTAATCACTTGGGTTTGTCTCGCTTAGGGCAATTTCTTTGCACTTGCCAAATTGCTAGCTTGGTGAAAAGCCCTTCTGTTGTGATTAAACCGGAGCAGTTCTCCATCCCTCCTTTTTCTTAAAAGATCTGATGATTCAACCTGGTCTGCGTATGCTCTGTCCTGAACTTCTTAGACCACGTCTGACAATTCGTGCTGTTTCATAATCAGCATAAAGGATATCTCTGAAGAAGGTGAAAAGTTTACTTTGCCTTCATGTTCATGTGTTTTTTGAAAGGAATCCATTAGCACGTAATTGACAGGTTTGCTTGTAAGTTAAGTGTCTATCTTCTAGGATTGGCTCTGTGTGGCTAGCATTATAAATAAAGTACTTTAGAAGTCAGGAAATTAATTATAGTGTCTCTGTGGAGCAGCCATGCAGAATGGGGCAACACGACATAGGCCTGCTTACCAGGAGCAAGCCATTGCTCTGGGAGCAGTGCTGATTCATCAAAGAATCAGTGTCCCTGTCTTCTAGTGAGATGGGAAGAGCAAGACGCATCTGGCCTCTCCAGAGTCTGTCTAGGCCAGGGCTGTGTGAACCATGAGTCTGCAAACACC